GGGCCGACGGGCACGGTGTTCAGCAGCTTCGTCAGCAAGTTCTCGATGAATGGTAGTCGACATGCGCTCGGTGGTGTAGATCTCCAAGCGGTGGTTACGAGGACGGTCAGCTCGATGCCACGCACCGTAACATATCTCCGTCGCCATGTCACGGCGAGCACTGGCAGACCCATACTGGTCATCGAGGCTGAAGTGCGCATTGAACTGGGCGCGGTGTAGTACAGCTGTGACGTAGGGGACGCACCAGTCCATCCAGTCGTTGAAGTTGCCCATGTCGCGGCCGAAGAACACGCTGGGGATCCATCTCGCTGCCCATGCTTCAGCGCGTTCGTTCAGGTACTTCATGGAGTCGTGGTCGTCATCCCCAGTCGGTTGCTCGGATGTAGAAGGCGCCATCGGAGAGCCACTATCGACAGGAAGTAGTGAGAACCAAGCACGAAGACGATGATGAATGGTCTTGTGGCAGGAGTCGCGGTACAGCTGGCGCTGTAATTCCCGCAGGTAGGCTTGTTTAGGGAAAGTTCGTTATTCGACGCTCGAGGTAGTAGCGCTCGCAGAGTTGAGCCCAGCTTGTCTCTGATGAAGCCTGCCAGTCCTGTCGCGACTGGGTGTGCGAAGGCCACCAGCCCTGTCACGACTTGGTGCCTGGTAAACACCAGTCCTGTCACGACTGGGCGCGTTGAGATCCTCCGCCTTGTCACGACGGGAGGCCTGGAGAGCATGCCGACCAGCTGCAGCAGCTTGCGCATGAGCTCGTTGAAGTACACGGGCGGCGGTCACCGTAGAACCTTTGGATCGCGTGAGAGTCTTGAAGATGGAGCCTTTGCCTGTCACGATCAGTTTGTTGTGGTAAATGGCGTCGAGGCGCTGCACGATGGAAGTGGCGTCAATCCAACGTGAGGCAGACCAGTTGCCAGCCGCGACATCGCATCGTGGGAGGAGGTCTTCAGCATGAGCACGGAGTTCGTGAAGCAGAGGCTGCCAGCCAGGAATGGTCGTGGTGGAGGCGCGCCACATAGTCGCAGCAAGAAACGTTTCAATACCCTGCGGGATCGTGGCGGACGCCCGCAGCGTGAACGACAGGATGTCCATCTTCGTGAGGCTCGAGGGGGCAGCGCGGATCAGCTTGTGGAGGCCATGAATCTCCTTGGACAGGAATGCTGGGGATGGCGGGTAGAGCTGGCCCACGTACGAGAGACAGGTGATGGCGGCGGAGTTGTACATCTTGATGCTCTGCTGGATGGGAGCGTTGGAGTCGCTCAAGATCTGAATGCGTTCCCACTACTTGTTGGCAGGTCCTTGCCATTGACGGTCAAGAGAGGCGCCAGGGCCGATGTGCACGCCGAGGTATCGCGCAAAGCTGTTGATGGAGAAAGCTTGCCACGGCTCGTAGAGCTGGGTCAGGATAGCACGCATGTTCGCGACGGTCTCGGGCGTCGGCAGGGACCAGGTGGGCACGAGGACGCATTTCTTCGGTTGGAGGCGGAGGCCAGCGCAGTAGTGAGCAGCTTGAAGGTGTGGGAGAAGAGCGCCAACATCCCGAAGTGCAGCAAGAACGATGCCCAAGTCGTCGGCGCAAGCGCTGAGAAGGCCTCTGCCCAGAGCGGTGAGTTCCATCTTGAGGACCTTGATGATGGGGTCGAAGACGAGCGCCCAGAGCGCGCCGCTCAAGGGGCATCCTTGAGCAACCCCAGATTCTGCGAGAAGCAGCGGCCGGCGGATCCCACCCAGCTCGAGAAAGGCAAGTGGCATGTTGTAGCAACTTTGCAAGAGATTGAGAAAGACGCCGTGGATGCCCCATCGCCGTAGAGTAGCCCACAACCACGCGTGCGTAAGACTCGGAAGCGCTGCAGCAATGTCCATGCTGGCGAAGCAGGGCATCAGGGTGGAGGCTTCGCTGTTGATGCTGGCGAGGCGGGCGATGGTGTCAACCTTGAAGATGTTGGAGAGAAATTGACGGCCATTGACAAATCCTTGTTGCTCTTCTTCGGTGTCCGACGCATCGGAGTTGAGGATGCGGTTCGTTGCGGAGGCGATGGTCTTGATGTCGCTGTTCTTCATGCCGAGGGGGCGGAGACAGTCAGGGCTGCGGGGGCACTCGTAGTTGCCCACGGGCTCGTCACCCTTGGGAAGCATGGCCATGATCGCGTAGTTCAGGTCGTGGGGGATCGGGCCGCCGTGAGCAATGGAGTGGAGGAGGCCGTGGAGGTATGCGATGCTGCCGTCTGATCGTACCCATGCGCGGTAGGGGAGTCCGCCAGGTCCAGGAGGAGGAGGGGGATGAGGACGATCAGGAGGATGATGATGATAGTGATGACGAGGAGGAGGAGGAGGAGGAGGAGGAGGAGGAGGAGGAGGATAATGGAGCGTGGAAAATGGAGAAGCCAGGCGAACCAGGGTGCGGGTTCGGTGAGCTAAACATTGCCCCTGCTTATAACGGAGCGCTCGCCACGGCAGCGGGCGCTGCGGCGGCTGCCAATTCATGCGCGTCCATGCCGTGGGTAGCCGCCCGGGCAAATTGGGGCGAGGCCGTTGCGTCCCGCATGGGCGCGAGTGACTTGGCCACGGTCGATCCTGGCCAAGTTCTCACGGCCTCTGCGCGTGAATCCCGAGCACGGCGCGGCGAAGTGGCGCGGGCCCTCCGTCGCCGCATTACTGCAGAGGCGGCAAAAGTACAAGCAGTAGTTCTGCATGGAACGAAACTGGTGGGATGCATGCAGCGCGCGCCCGCCTAAGAACTACCGAGCCCAACAGCGGCGCCACCTGCTCGCTAGCGGTGGGCTCGGGTGGCTCATGGTGGCAAGGCGTGCTGCGCGATTGCCGCGCCGTGCGCTTGTCTGAGGTGAGCCCGCAGCGCGAGCACCTGTGCTTGCTCGCGCGGAGCTCGAACTCGTGCGCGCTCGACTGGAGGGCATGCTGCAACCTGGTCAGGCGTGGGCCGCGCGCCTGCGAAGGCCTCTCAGCCGCCCTCGGGTCGGCAGCGAGCGCATCGGCTAGTGCCCGTCGCTTCCTTCGGCGGGCAAGGGCGCGCTGGGCGTCGTGCAGGTCCGCGAGGGGCGCCTCTCCAGTCACCGCGGCTGCCCACGCTCTGTGGGCGGCAACGCCTGCCCGCGCGTCGGACGCGCGGAGGTGTCTGACGGGGTCGGCAGCTATGCCAGGGGTGTCCTTGAGGCCGCCCAAATCGCCTCGAGCCTGCTGCTGCCTCGGGCGCGAACCGCCTTCGCGATTCGCTGCCACTGGTCCTGGTTCGCGCCGTCGCTGGGGCGCGGGTGCCGGCTGGTCCCCCACCCGTCGTGCAGCGGCAAATTGTCAGTGATGAAGCACAGGCCGCCTGGCCAATGTCCGAGGGCCCACGCGACAGAAAGCAGCTCCGCTCGGGCGCTTGAAATATGCCCTCGGCACCCGAGATGACGCCTACCCATGGGGCCCGCTCCCCGAAGAGGCTCTTCATGGCAACGCAGGCGGCCCTCGCCCGACGGCGACGCGGGTCGGCGCTGAACTCCCGCCCGAGCCGTCGCCGAGGAGGGCAAGGGCCCCGTCGCTGCCTGCGCAGCCCACCCGCCCCCGCCCAACCCAGCTCCGCCCGCCGCCCCGCCCAAGTCAGGAAAGACAGCGCGCGTGTCAGCGCGCGCGGGCAGGCCTCGGAGCAGGCGCCCTGCCGAACGCTGCTGCCGTTTCGGACGGCGGGGGGCGCGCCCAGAGCGCGCCCCCCCCCCCCCCCCCTGCTGGCTCAGGGGCCATCGCCCCAATTGTGGCGCAGCGCTGCTGCGGCCACAGTTTGTGGTCCTCCGCCTCGTTGTGTATCTGAGCAAGCTGCGTGGTGCCCTGGCTCGGGGGCCTCGGTATGTCGATGGGGCCGATGTTGTCGACGCCCCTGGCCTTCTTGGGGTTGGCGGCGTTGACGACGGCGTGGGCGCGCTTCGCTTCGATGGGGGGAGGCGGGTCCTCCTTGGCGAGGCGCACGGCGTTCTCGTACGCGGTGGTGATCTGCTTCTGGTCGTAGGAGTTGGTCTCCCAGATCTCCCTCCAGTTAGCTGTCGGCCGCGGCGTTCATGGCGCGGCGGGCCCCCCCGTGCGCGGCGCGGCCCTGCGTGGCCGCATGGCCCCCGTTCGCTGCATGCTGGGGTCGGCGACGGCGCGGCGAAGCTTACCTGGGGCCTCCTTCCAGGCATGCCTTGCCATCTCGAGGTCGCGCTTACGCGCTTTGCCTGCAGCTCTCGCCGTCGCTCCGTGCGCCCATCTCCGCGGCGTCGCGCAGTGGTGGTGGAGGTCGTCGTCTTCGAAGAAAGCTGTGGAAGCGGTCTGGAGCTTCCACGTCTATGGCCTGCGGGTCGGTCTTGGAGCCGAAGTGGCATTTCTGGAGGTCTGGGTTCTCGAGCTGGTCGATCTTCTGTTCCATGAGGCTGCGGATCTGCCCCTGGGCCTCGAGGTCCTTCTGGTTCTTGGCGAGGGCGGTGTGGCGCGTGATGGGGGTGCTGAAGTGCTGCCGCCGAGCCGCCTCGGGGTCCTTGGGGTATGCGCATCCAGGCGAGGCCCTCATTGTCTGCTTCGCCGTCTTGCACCCCTCGGCCCTGCCATGGTACCTGGCCCTCTCCTCGTCAGGAATGTCGTGGGTCTCGGGGGGTGCGATCTCGAGGGTCGCGGCCCAATCGGCGTTGGCGCTCTTCATCTCCGCGGCCCTGCTCGGCAAGTGCCGGAGGCGGATGTGCCCTCTGCCCTCCTTGGTGCCCGCCAGGTGGCCCTGGAACCTCGGAAAGTCGGCCGATGCCTCCTCGGCTCGGCCCTGTCCCATGTGTCGTCCTTGATGATGAAGGGCACGGGGTCGGGATCCGCGGTGCGCTTGTTTTTGTTGTGCGGGGTGTCGAACTCGCCTCGCAGGCGCTCGGGTAAATTGTCTCTCCTTGCTCGCAATTCTTCTGCCCGGGCCTGCGACCTGTTGATTTGACGTTAGGGTCGGCGACCTTCCTTGTTCTGGCTCGGGCAGGGCGGGCTGCGGGAGCCTCGGTAGCTTTGTGGTCCCAGGGCTCGGCGGCGCCCGCCGTGACCTGGATGTCGCAACGGGTGTTCCACGGGGCGTCGTGGACCGCCTTCGCGTCGAGATGCGCGGCGAGGTCCGCTCGCGCGATGGCGCGGTCGTGGACGGGGCCCGAGCCCTTGTCGCACGTGGCCTTGCACTCTGGGTAGGCGGGGGTGGCGCCGCTCCACCTGGGCAGCCGCGGCTCGCCGCCCCGCCGGCGCGGATCGCAGTTCCAGCGGCCGCGGCGATCCGCGGATCGCTGAGCATGTCCACGAAGGTGCACATGGAACTGGGGGCGCCCCCGCTCGCGCCCTGGTCGCGAAATCTGGGCCGCAAGTGCGCCGCGACAGCCGCGATGTCGCCGCCCCTTGTGCGCAAGATGGAGGGGTGGAGCCCGCGAAGTGTTGCCTCTTGTAGCGCTCGAGGTCATGCGCCCTGTAGGCCTCGAAGGCGGCAGCTGCGATGTCCCTCCGCAGGAGGATCCACTCGCCGCCGTGGGCCCCCTTGTCCTACATGTGAATCGGCGTGGCCGGTGGCCGCGATCTCCCAGCCGCCCATGGCGAGCTTCCCGACCTTGTCCTGGGCGCCCTTCGCGCCCGCGTGGGTCTCCGCAGGCGCTATGAAGTGGTGGGCGCAGCCGATGGTGCGGCAGTCGTTGGCGGCCTGCGGCCGCCAATCGGTGATGTTGCCGCAGAGGATCTGGGCCTTGTCGTCCTTGCTGGGGCTGCCCGGGCTGCTGCGAACCAGCTTCGGCTGTGGCTGGCTGCAGTTTGGTGTCGCCTGTGCCTCCGCCCCTGACCGCGCGTGCCATCTCGTTGGCCCTACAAGAGGTCTCAGTGAGGGCGACCTCTGCCTTCCTCTCGGCCCAAGGAAGAGCGTCCGCGGCCTGCCGTGCAGGAGCCTCTGGAACGGGTCCAGCGGGTGCAGCCGCCGCAGGTGGTGGTTCGGGTTCTTGTTACTGCTGTTGCTGCTCTTGCGGAGGAGGAGGGCCGCAAACGGCAGGCGCTGCGGCTGGTGGGTCACCAGCGGCGGCTCTCTTGCGCTTTGCGGGGTTGTTGGCGGACTCCTTGGCCTTGCGCAGAATCTCGCAGACGTGCTCCTGGCTGTCGTTGAGGGCCCTGGCGCGTTGGTCGATCTCCCGCTTCCACTCGTCCATCTGGGCCCTGGTGGTGTCGTCGTAGAGGGTGAAGTCGTCCCCGATCGTGCTGTCGACTGCGAATGTGTCTGGCGATCCTGGTGCTGCAGCTTCACGCGCAGCTGTTCCAGCACGTTTGGCTCCATGATCGTCCCGTGCCTTTGCGTGGGCGCTTGGGGCAAGGACGAGGTCGAGGGCAACTTGCTCTTGACGTGCGTTGGCGTCGTTGAGCCTCTGCTTCGCCTCTGCGACCTCATCGACGGTCTGCTGGAGCTTATTCTCCCTGTCGGTGAGGACGAATGGCGCCGACTGGAGTGCCTGCTCCGCTGTGCGCGCAGGCTGTGGCTGTGCTGTCCGACGTGGTCGCCATGCTTCTCGTCGATGGGGAGGGTCTTGGGTGCTCCGAAGACGGCGTCCCTGCTGGGGTGGCCAGCCCCAGCGGTTTGCTGGGGACCATGCCAGGGCGGCTTTGTGCTCCTTGCCCGCGCACCTCCAGGCTGGCGGTGCTCCGCTGGGGACGGCGCGAAGGAATTAACGCACATGAAGCATTCTGACTTGCCCTTCTATGTCTATCGGTACCGACACTGCCTGCACATGGTGTGCTGGTACAAGTGCTGTTTGCCACCAGGCCGGCCACGTCGCGTCTATGGGCTAGCGGCTGCTGCTTCACCCTCTGCGCTTCGGCTGCCCGCCACTGCGCCGACTGTAGGGCCGCGCCCACAAACAGGACAGACTTGCAGGGAATGGGCGGCAGCTCGCCCCTGGGGGTGGCTGCGAACGATGAAGTGGGCGGCAGCTCGTCCCAATTTGTGGCTGCGAACGAAGAATTGGGCGGCAGCTCGGCCCTTGGTGTGGCTGCTGGAACGAAGATCGCTGAACGCAGTGGGAGCTTACCCTACTTTGGCAGTGGCATGGACACCAATGTAGCCTTGAACCAACATGGCTACGGACCAAGAGAAGGAGGAGGAGAAGGACAAGGAGGAGGAGGAGAAGGAGGTGATATGATGATGATGATGAGGAGGAGGAGGAGGAGGCCGAGGAGGAGGAGGATCGAACAGATGGAGGAGGAGGAAGAGGAAATCGAGAATCAGAAAATAATGAGGGAGAAGGACGAGAAGGAGGAGGAGGAGGACCAGTGTCAACCCAAGACTCGTCAACGATTTTGAATACACCCTTCCTCCAAGATCCCTCTTCGCAGGCCCCTACAAGAGGTCATTTCCACTGAGGGGATAGCCCCGTAGGGGGATAACCGTGCGAGCATCTTGAAGAGTGCCAAAACACCATTCTCAAGACTTCAACGCCGCGAATTAACCTGACTGTTACGTCTTGGCGATCCTGACTCGTGACA